TTATGTATTGTACATATCACAAGTTGAAGATGGCTTTGGATGCTGGGCCAGTGTCCATCATCACCACCATCCCCTCCTAATAGTGACAGGTGCTAGAGTTTGTTTAGGAACTCATAAGGTCATGGGGAGGCTGTCTTTATCCTGTTTAAGCTCTAGAATGGGGCTGGTGATTTGGTTTTATGTTTATGGGTAAGCCAGTCCATTCAAAGTGAATTATACTGATGATTCTCAGGATCTCTTTCTGGCTGTATATGACTAAGAAAACAAGTCACTCAGGAGCCACTGACAACTGTCCTGGGACCACGAGGGCAGTTAGTCTTAGGGTGCAGCTAATACCAAAAGAGGAAGCAGGATAAAACCAAAGGAAATGGACTTCTTGACAACCTGGTGAGCCATAGGATCAGACTTCTTGCGTTTGGCTTTACTGCTGTACTTTTAGGTTATAATCACCAATACATTCCCTTTATGAAGCAAGTCAGATTGAGTCATGGTTTCTGTTACTTGTACTATAAAGCAACCTTACCTGCTCCTGTTATGGCACAGTGAGAATCACACTGTGATAGAACAGTGGGCTCATGTGTTCATTTCTCTTGGATCATAAACTCCTTGAGTTCAAAGATTATTTTTCATTTTTGTAATCTTAGTACCTAGCAGGACATCTGGCACTGGTCTATGCTTAATAAATGATTAATAATAGACAAAAAAAAAAAAACACCCAAAACTAAACAAGTAAATAAAATAAGGTAATCTGGATTATTTGGGAAACATCTCTTTCCCAAGTATTTTGAATATTTTTAAATATTTGACTTGACTTCCCCATATGGTCAGATATCTTCCACAATCTATCCATAACCATTTCTTACTTTAATTCAATTCCCTAAAACTTTTTTTTCTCCTTTTTCTTCCTAATCGTATAAACAATGTATGCTCATTACAAAGTTTCAAAAGATACATAAAGTACACAAAAGAAAGTAAAAATCAATGGCGTCTATGCCACCCACGGCATATACTGCTAGGAGTTTTCAATGTGGAGGTTAAATGATAATTCTGTTTTGTCCTGTTTTTGTTTATGTTTTATCTCCTGGACCATTCCCAGTACCACCTCTGCTAAGAAAAATAAATGTGGCACACACCTTAGTCATCAGAGAGTCATCAGTTTAACTACTATATTTTCAGACCGAGTGAACATTTAGTGTAGTCACACTATGTGCTAAGTGTTTACTGTGCCAGATGCCTCCACATGGATGAGGGAATAGCTATTTACTGGGATATGAGTTATCTCATTTACATCCTCCCAACAGCCTTGACACAGGAATGACTATACTTGCTTCATAGCTAAGGAAAGCAAGGTGGTAAGATTTAGCACTAGGGAATACTTCCCAAGATGTACTTTTCCTTTGCATCTAGAAAACTACTTCATGAAGAGTAATGAAGACAAACCCAAAATCACTCTGTTAATTGCATCAGAGCTTTCATGGCATTAAAAATAATTTTTAAAAAACATTAAATCCTCAAGATTCTTAATAATTACAGAGATTTTGCTGCCTGGAACTCGTGGTGGTTAGCTCTTCTTAAGTAGGTCTTTGTATCTGATACAACAGAAGATGAAAAGGAGCCAGTGGGAGCATTAAGCCTGGATAGAAGAAGGGGTGTGATAATAATGGGAGGCCACACAAAGCCATTCGTTGCCCTAGCTGCTTTTTGAAACAGCCTGTAAGGCAGGGTTCCTCATGGAACCCTTAGGCAGCCTTCCATTAGTTCATAGCACTAAGGGTTACAACCACAATTTAAAACTGAGCTAAGAGAAGGATACCTGAAATTAACAACAGTCTCCCTGAGCAACTATACTTTCAAATGGCATAAAAGATAGATGATAGAGAGTTTTAATCCAGCTGACCCTAAAGGTCATCTTCCTAAATCAGTCTATGCCTCTGAACTGGAGGCATAGCCTTGATGGATCATGTTGCTGTCAATTCCAAAATGGAACTTAAAAAGCTTTTAGTCTGAGATCTTCATAGCTTTGATCACTTTCTTGCTCAAGTGACTTCTTTTGGCTTAATGGGAAAAAAGGTCAAAAGCAAAAACAAACCAAATTCCCAGAAAACCAACCCACTGGAATTTCAGCGTCACTATTCTGAAATAGAAATAAATATTCTTCAGCACAGATAGGATTGCCCTAACAGTTTAGGGGCCCAGAACAAGGACACAAGTGGAGGCCCTCAGACCTAGGCCAGCCCCTCTTCTTTGCCATTGTTTCTTCCTGCACCACCAAAGGGCTTTCATGTAGATGTGTGACCATCCCAACTCGTGAGTCCAAGCTCTGATAAATTATCGCCCCAGCCTCATCCCCCACTCCCAGGCAAACAGTAGCCTCTTGGTTTTTCTTCATACCCAGGAGTGGGCACACAGTACAACTCCTGCAAGTTGGCTCAGGATTGTTTGGGGAGGAAATTCTGGGACCCTATTTATTCCAAATGTCATCTAGGGAGCAAGATCCAAATGGGCCCACCTCTTGGCAAAACAGACTCCTCTAAAACTAGAGGCACAGAGGAAAGTTGCCCAGGTCAAAGGGCTATGGTGATTCAGGGTAACTTTTAAACCTTACCTTGAATTTAGTCGATTTATGACCTTTTAAATTTTTACATCTTTTTATACTAAGTTTTATATTTTGGTAAGAATTATAAAGAGAGCTTAGGAAAATGTGATCTTGATTGGCGTAGACCAAAAACGAGAGCGAAGGAAAAGGAAATCTTCAACATTATTTTTTTTTAAACCCCTTAAACTGATAGGGGTTAAATATGTGGGGAGAAGAATCAAAACAGATCCAGGGCCAAGATTCCAAAGTGGAACCATGTAGAGCGGGGAAAATCCTATCGGATAATTCCACCATGGTGGGCGCAGGTTAGATTCTAGAGTCAAACAGGTGTGAGTTCAAATTCTGCCATATGCCAATTTAAATTAGAAGTATTTAAATGAGATTTTCACTCATCTCATTTTCTCATTTGACAATGGGAAGCCAAAAACCTACCTGGTGGGGCTGTGGTAGGATTAAATTGCAAAGTAAATGTAAGACATTCAGTACTCTGCATGGGACTTAATAAACAATATTTACTATAATAATCAGGTACTTTAATGCAGTGTCAGGGCTGGAATTATGACCTAACCCTTGTTTAGCAAAAAACTTAGAAGGCTGTCATATATTATTTGGCATCAGTTTGTTTCCACGCTCCCCATTTGAAATCGTTTGTTCTTTGAACAAGGTAAGGACTTTGGATGTCATTCTAAGAATTAGTTAAAAGTAAACTGAAAGGCAATAATAACTCCATCTTCACTAGGTTTCCAAAATAAAAACAGAAATAAATTATCTAGCTGTAAGAACTATATCTTACTAACAAGAAAAAAATTATAATCTTCCCATTTACTGTGCATAGTTCTTTTAAAACCAACATCAGACTTCGTTAACCTCTTTTACAAAATTCAACTTGTAACAATAATCACTACCTTTTATTGAGTCCCCTTTGTGCCAAACAGCGTACCATTTGCTTTACAAACAACATCTCTCTGGTGTAATCGTGGTAACTTTCCCCTCCCCCATTTGACAGATAAGGAGAGTGAGATGCTCACCATGGCCACACAAACCCTTGCCCGTTTCACTCCCACAAGGCTGGAACCAGGCTCTGAAAAGCTCCTTTAAACCTCTTCCCCTTCACCCTTCCCAACCTCTCTCAAAGAAAATGATATATGTCACGTAAGCAAAATGTTAATGCCTCTTTGGCTTTTAATCCTTTGTTGAGAGACATGTTTTTGTGTGTATGCGCTCTCTCAGAAGGTTCTTGTCACAGTTCATGTTTGTCTTCCTGCAAATTTAATTGAAAATAACTCATGCTAAATTTTCTTTTGCTGCTATAAATAGATCATATTCTTGGTGGGTGGAGAAGATGAAAAAGCCACCACCAAATAAGAAGAAACTCAGTTTATTGAGATCAGTACATTGGTTTATTTTTTGATAAAACCATTCCAAATCAAAACCCAAATACTGTCACAAAATAAACCACGGGCCCTGGCATATGATTTACAAAAATGTGGTACAATAAAATCCAATGTACAATACATTGCAAAAGTACTTTATAACTATATTGTTCTTGGCATTAAAATATATTAACATTTTTAGGAACCTTCAGCTGTGTGTCCCAAGCTTTACAGAGCCTCATGAGCTGGTCGGACCATAAGATGCAGATGTTTGTTTATACCTGCAATGATTTGCTGAATTTGCTGTCTTAATCATTACTGCTGGAGCCAAAGGGCTTTGAGCTGAACATAAGACGAAAAGACGTTTTACAGACCCCGTGTGGGGCAGCCGTTTGTAGATTAGAAACCAAGTCTCAGGTTACACACCCCTAAGTGCCAACCACAATACATCACTCCTCTGCTCTTTTAAACAGAACTTCTTCAGAGAAATGGAAAATATGGAAAAGCTATTTATGGACAAAAGAAATATGCCTGAAAAATGTGTTCCTGGAAAAAGATATATTCCATATTCCTAATCTGCCAAGTTTTGGTGCAATCAGAAACTATACTAGGAAAGGAGAAGTAACTTTATTGGAAGCATAGTGGTACTGATGACCAAAATTTTTATCAGAAAGAAGCAAAGAGCAAGCTAAGTCCCTGGTAAAAAATAAATGCATCCATTCTTCTCAAAGAGATGCTAAAACAAGTTGCTTCCTTGAGGATAAAGATGTTCTTGTCAGATCTACAGATTCTACATCTAAAGAGAAAGTGCAATTATGCATAATAAGGTAAACACTTCGAACAGACAGTTATGCGCTCAGAAGACAGTAGCTCCTTGCTGGTGAGATACAGCAAATGTCAACAAGCCAGACACACTTAAACATTCAGAAAAATGTCTTGCTATTCCTCTCCATATATAATATGCCATATGACACCACAGTTAAATCTGCTACTGCCAAAAAAAAAAAAAAAAAAAAAAAAAGTACGTCAAGCTGTTGGTTTCCATGAAATTTGGACAGAGGCAAAAGAACGCAGCAGAAAGGAGTCCGGGAAGGTACAGCTTCTGTTTCTTTCCTTCAGAGGAGGAAATGACTTCCTATGGCTAGCTGACCAGGAGTTAGTGCTCACCCCTGCCTCTTGCCAGGACCCAGAACGAGGACCTGGAGCATACCCAGATGAGGATCAGAACGCAGCTTCAGGTATTCTTAATGGGGATAGGAAACTAGAGACAACAGTTACAAGTTACACAAATTCAACAGTCATGCCGTGTGCATTTGTTTGTCCTACGGGTGCGATGTACAGCTCTTTCCATACGAACCGGTCTTTTCTTTCACTCCCTTTCCACATCATCAACAAGCATGCCAAATGCAAATCTCTTCGGATTCTGATCCCATCCCGGCAAAATGCAGGGACTACCACCATACGGAGTTTCACAATAATCTCCGCAATGACAATTATTCACAGCCCCTCAGGTCTGTTTGCACAAAAGATTGCAATTTGAATCCTGTCTTGTACAGGTTCAGCTCTGTTGGAGCTGGTTACCGGGCAAACAGTCTGTTTTAAGATTTACCGATTGCTGGGGAGAGTAAGCTGGGGGGTGGGGATGGACAAACCACCCTGTACATACCTCCTGTTGGCAGCTAAGAAAAACAATTTCATGACAAAGAGACTTGTTCTTTTCAAAGCTCCTCCAACAAATGAAACTGACAGAATGAAACCTGAGAAACTTTAGCAACCAAAGAAAGCAGCCTTCCAAGGATCAAGGTGAATAATTGATTTGTCGGGTTTTGTTTCATCTTTTAAGCTATTTTGCTCATTAAAGAGGAACTGTGGAATTTGTCAGAAGCCCAAACACTGACACACACTTATGACAGCAAGTGCATACATATTCCAAACTACAGATTCATTTGCCAAGCTTATTCAACAACAACGATTAGCTGCAAAGCCAGGGAACTTACCGAGCACAAAATTATTGGAACAAAGCAGGGAGGAGGCAGGAGGCACCACAGGCAGCTTCTCCGTCTCCTTGGTGCCAGGTTCTCCTGTCTGCCGTCCGGTTCACACTTGCCTTTATAACTAAGACTCCGACAGAACTCACTAGCGAAACCTGATGAATTATAAAACAGCCCCTCCTAGACTCTTATATTTTACATCACAGGGGGTGACCATGCAGCATCCTCGTTCCCTGGGTACATATATTTCCTTGTAACTCATCCTGATAAATATATCAGCTTTGGGAGCAGTGACAGTAATTGGTGCTTGGGATGTACCAGCATTAACCAATAAGATGCTTTCCCACCATCAGTATTGCACCCCCATCCTCCACTTGTGTTCCCCCACACCTTGTTAAGGTGGATCCACCCAACCCAGTAGGGGGTAGGCAAAGATGGCAAAATGCAAAAAGCCCCTGCATCTCAAACACAGGCATAGGGAGCCATAGTATTCAGGGTTAATTCTCATCATAGTTCCGTAAAGATCAGCCCTCATGTTTGCATAGCATGTCACAGTGTACCAGACACTTCCACTCTCTCTGAGCCTCCTCTCAGCAACCAGGAGAGGTATACAGTATAAGGGAGCTGCCAGGGCTCAGGCAAGTTAAGTGACTTTGTTCAATTGCTCACCAAAATTGAGGGGTTCAAGGAACCCTGGCAATTAGCGAGAACACCTTTTTGCTGTGCACATGAGGAGCCCATAGCAAGAGAGATAAAGTGACTTGTCCAGAGCCCACAGTTTCCATGTGTGATTTGAGCCTGAACCCAAACCCAGGTCTTCTGATGTCAAGAACAGTGTTGTTCTATCCTACTATGCTACCTCTACAGCATGGAAGCCCTAAAAATGAGAAGGCATGCAGAAATCAGTAACAGTATCATTGATCGGCCCCAAATCATTAACAGGCAGCCTACATGGAGGAGTAGAGCAGTGCCTGAACTGTTCGTTTCCTCTCTGACAAGGTCAGCATTACGTCTTTGTATTCGTTGAATATCAATGCTAGAAAAAATTGATAATAATAATAGCTACTATTGAGCACATCTAATATGTCAGGCAGTGTTCTAGGTGCTTAGCCTAACTTAATTTTCAAAACATCCCTATGAGGTAGGTATTATCATGAACAACACATGGCACATGAGAAAACTGAGATTCAGAGAGGTTAACAAATCTAAGCAGGATCACAGCTGCTAAGTGGCAGGGCTGGAATCAGCTCCAGTCAACCTGGTGTCAGAGCCCACACTCTTGAACAGATCTCCCTTTCCCAGCAGTGACAGATGAGCACTGGGAGCAGATTTATTGACTATGGCCTTTAGTAGAAATCAGAAAAAGATTATAGGATTTGGAACCAAATAGACTTGTGCTTAAACCCTGCTTTTGCCACTTGCTTCCTGTAAAATGGGTTGCTTTATCTATAAAATGGGTTTGCTAATTCTTACCTTGTGAGATTAAGTAAACTATATCAAGAAAATACAGTGCCTGACTTACAGTGCATACCCCTAAACTGCTAACTATTTTTTTTATCCTACTTCTTTTTGGAAACTGGATTTCTGTCTCCTTTTCCCTTTAAATTGTCTTTGAAATGTCTGCTGGTGCTGGCCAAGGAGTCTTCCGATCTGCCTGCTGTGAAGAAGGGGTAACAACCCCAGAGACTGCAGACTGTCACCAGGGATACAGGGACTCTCTGCCAGAGAATGGCAGGCCTGGGGCTCTGCTCTGGGTTGCCTGTTCAGCTCCGTAGCTCCTTCCCACTTCACTTCCACTGTTAGTCAACTGAAGTCACCAGCTCAGGGAAGCATATTTATAGCAGTTAGCTGTTCACAGTGAGACCAACTTAGGCTTACTTCACCTGTTACAAACAAGCACCCATCACAAAATTCATAATGACAATGAGTTTTTGCACATAGTTACACATCTACTGCCATTAAGTCAAAGTGTCCCAAGCAAGGAAACAGGTATCTCTTTCTCGAAGGTCCCACTGCAAACTCTTGTCCTAAGTCAGTTTACTCTAGCATTTGGCCATCCATATAAGAAACTGCTATCTTTGATGTGTGCAATCAATATTCCTTGAGAGACATCAGTGGTAGCCTTCTATGGGACAAGGTGCTGCTATAATGTTCCAGGCTATGCAGGTTTAAACATGAGGGATTTTCTTAGCTATGTGTTTCTAGAGAATGGCTCAGTGGCCAAGTTAATTTGTTCACATATTAACTATCCCCTGCTTGTTTGTTTTTCCCTCTATGCATCTTACAAGGGGGTCTGGGATATGCATGGATGAGGCACCCCCTCTTTCATGACCGTACTTAATACTAGGCACTGTAGGAATGGGAGTATGCAACATAATGGGGGGGGGGGAGTGGTAGGGGAGAGGTACTTGAGTTTCTAAATGGTTTGAAAGGCCAGGTGTAAACACCATGTGTAGCAAAGAGTAAATAAGTGATAACTATGCTTACAAGATAAATGTTTACTTCCTATATATTGATGTGTGGGTTATTTACCACATGGCCTGACAAGGCTTGGTCTATTCTAAGTCTTTCCATGGAAATCATGGAATCAGCTCCCTGATCTACGATGACCCCCCAAAATTCCCTCCAGAGCCATGTCCTCCCTGTCCATTTCCCCACATTGCCTGACTATTCCACCATGACACAGCACATGAAAAATTTATATAGACAAGTGTTTATAGTTTTTATATTATAACACACTGCTCTGTTTCCATGTCAAGGATAATCATAACATGTATTCTGTCATAATTATCCCCTCATGCTACCAATTGCTCCCAGACACAACAAACTGCGTGGAGCCTTGAAGCTATATCAGTACTTTGCTGATATTAGTGGAAGTTGTAACATTTACTGAGCACTTAGTATGGGCTGGAAATGTGTTAAACTTTACTTGCAATTGACATTTAACCCTCACAGCATTTTCAAATGGGTTATACTATAATCTCTGCTTTGTAGATGAAGACTCTGTGACTGGAGAGGTTAGGTGACTTAATAAAAGGCACAGTCAGAATAATGACCAAAGTCTAAGACTGCAGAACCTACTCTCTTAACTATTACATCCACTGTGTCTAAAAAGCTGAGGTAGCAGGTAACATAATATATAAGTGCCTATTCTCACTGTTTTTGCTTCCTCATATCCTATTCTCTCCTTAACTGATTTAATTTACCTTCAAAATCCCACCAGAAGTGCTTTTATTAAGTAAGTAATGACAGGCTCACTAATAAGACCAATCGCCAGTGTACAATCCCATGTACTCCATTTCTTCCCAGCCCTTTGGCAGAATTAGTTACAACTTCCCTGAATCAACCTCCTTCCTTACTTGGTTCCTGAGACCCCCTTGGTTTCCCTTTTACCTCACCAACCTATCCTTCTAAGTCTTTCCTGCTGGTCCTTCTCCATTTCCAGATATTTCAAATTTATAGTTCCCCAGGGCTCATCATTCGACCTCTCTATTTGCACTCACTTGCTAGGCCATAGCATCCAGTCAAGGCTTAGATGCCACCTATAGTTTAAAGACTACCTACACTAGTCCCAACCTGTGCCCTGCACTCCAGACTTTTACACCCAGTTGCATACCACATCTAGGAATCTCCACTTGACTGTCTGATAGGCTTTTCATATTTAAAATGTTGCAAACCAGACTGTGTTTTCTTCTCCCAAATCTGTTGTACTCCCAATATGTTTCAAGAAATGACATAATCATTCACCCCATTGCTCTGGCCAAAAAGCTGGGAGTCATTCTTGACTCTTCTTTTTATCTTATATCCCACGTCTTACTCATCAGCAAATGCTGCTAATTCTGTCTTCCAAATATATTCCAAATCTTTCCTCCATCTCCTCCCCATCCCCAGTCTATACCACCATCATCTCTCACATGCGTCTCTATAATCGCCTCCTGTTTTATTTCGACTCTTGCCTTGCTACAAATTACTGTCCACACAGCAACTGGAGTGATTCTTTTAAAACAAAAATCAGACACTAGCAAAAATCACCTCCCTTGAGTGGTTCCCCTTTCACTTAGGATTTAGTCCTGTTCTGTAGTCAGGAAGGATTCTGCTCACATGTCTCCTCATAGAACTCTTTGACATCCTGCATAGTATGGCTTATTCCCTTCCCCTATTATTTTATACTTACTTGTTGAACTTTATTTTTATTTATAGTACTTACCTCTACTTCAATGTGTGTTATATATTTACTTGCTTATTTCATTAACGTTTCCTTCCTCCCACTAGAGTATAAGCTCCATGAGGTCAAGGGCCTTGTCTATTTTGTCTAAGGCTGAATCTAGCACTAGCACAGGGCTTGCCACATAATAGGTATTTAATATATGTATTAAAGGATGTGTTCAAAGTCCTATCTTTACTGCTTCTTAGTTATATATCCTTGCATAAATTTCTTACTGTCCCTAAATCATAAAGTCCTCAATTATAAACTTTCTTAACAACAACAACAACACCCTTACATTGTTCTGGTAATTTATAAAGTATTCAACCTGTCCTGTGACTGACTTTGATACAATTCCATGAGATTGATCAGTGCTATGAGTTCACTTGTATTCCCCCAAAACTCATATGTTGGAGTTCTAACCCCCTGATACCTCAGAGTGTGAGGTTATTTGGAAGAAGGATTGTCTCAGTTGTAATCAGTTAAGAAGTCGTCCTACTGGGATAGAGTGGGTCTCTAATTCAATAAGGCAAGTATCCTTATAATAGGGGGAAATTTGGACACAGGTGTGTGCATAGGAAGAACACTACGTGAAGATTGGAGTCATG